CTAATTTGTCAGCTCCCTTCACTAACATCTTGGAAAGAAGAACACAGCCCTCTGTAGAAAAGGATGCAGAAGACGGACGGGGCACCCCTGGCTTGTTTGCTACTCACCCTGATAACATCCAGCTATGACTTCTTGCCACTAGGCCCAGTGACCTCTGACTCACTGTCTCAGTCATTTTGGGCAGCCTGTGAGAATATCATACATTTGGTTGCTCAGATAGCAGACGTTTTTCCCCATGATTCTGGAGGCTGGAAGTCTGACATCAGTGTGGCAACATGGAGCTAAGGACCCTTCTCTTGGTTCACAGATGACTGTGGACCTTCTCATTATGTCCTCACATAGCTCCTCATAAGGGCATTAATTCCACCAAGGGGGATCTGCCCTCATGACCTCATTTAACCTTAATTATTCCCCAAAGGTCCCACCACCAAATATCATCACTTTAAGGGTAACCACTTCAACATATGATGGTGGAGAGGAGACACAAACATTCACTCCAAAAACAAACATTCACCCACTTTTTTTCCTATTCTACTCTCAACCTCTATTCTCTCTGCCTTGCTGGTAAATGTTTCTACCTCATTGTCACCCAGAATGCCCAGAAATCATCTTGGACTCCTCTTCTGCTATTTCCTATCTTCTCTCTCACCATTTCTTAAATCTTTCTGCATCTTCATGTAACATTATAACTTCTCCCCTGGATTTTTGGCATGGTTTCCTACCTGGTCTCATTCCTGTTCACTGATTCATTTTCCTTCCTACAACCAGAGTCATCATTCCAAATGGTGGGATGATCACAGCACTCTAAAATATGCCAGTATTTCCTCATTATCTACACTATACAAAATCCACTTCTTTCAGTTGTTCAAATGTCACATATCCTTGCCCTCGTCTTGGCTTTCAAATATGGCATTCCTCTCCTGAAAAGCTCTTATTTCTTTCAACCCAATACTTCACTTGTTTAACTATTCATTCCATGGCATTTCTGCTTTTTCATCATTTCCTCCCAGAAGCCCTCCTGGATTGAATGAGTGTGTGTGTGTGTGTGTGTGTGTGTGTGTGTGTGTGTGTGTGGAGGAAGCAGAATAACTACTGAGAGACTTTTTTAAAAGTAAATTTTTATGCCTCACCTCTGGATTTTTAGATTTAGTGGGCGGTGGTGGGGCCAGGAATATGCATTGTAGCCAACATTCTCATGTGGATGGCCTGCAGACCACCCTTCAAGAAACCCTATTCTAAAACTTCCATTTTATATCTGTGGATCTGAATTACAATAAATGGGGTTTCACACAGTATCTAGGGAGTAGATTCAAGTCAGACAAAGATCCAGAAGATAAGGTTTTTATCTTGACTTCTTTATTCACCAGAATAAGACACTGATAGGGCAAATCATTTAATCTCTCCAAGTCTGAATGCATCCATTCATAAAAAACAAAAACAGATTAATAGTTCTCTGTATTGCCATCTCTCAGGCTGACTGTAAAGACCAAATGATCTCAGTAGATGTACAATACAAATGCAAGAAAATGTTCTCTTTAGGACTTTGTTTATTGAGCTCCTTAATAAGAGGAATTATTTGTAGTCATTAGATTGTATACATTAAGATAGAAAGGGGACTCACACTTCAGAAACATTGCTACACGGTCAACTTGGAAATAAGTTTTTGCTTAATTTCCAGTTAACGTGAGAACTTGTTAACCAGAATATCCTATTTTTGAATATTCAAACTGATTTTCATATAAATAATATAAATTTGTTAATAATAACACATTTTTATGAGTCCAACAACCTCTGAAGGGGAAAATGTATTACAAGTCATGGATCCAATAAGGGATTAATATCCAGAATATAGAGACTCTTAAGATTCAATAAAAAAAAAAAAAACTAAAAATGGGCAAAGGATTTCAATAGACAATTTTGCAAAGGTAAATAGGCAAAATCACCTCAAACTCACTGTTCGAGGTAGAATTTGCCAGTGGTTCCCCATTATCTGTATGACATTTCCAATTTGGCAATTATAGAACAAACAAACCAGAATCATTGACGAAGAAATCGGACCCTTTGTGCTCTGTTGGTGGGAATGTAAAATGGTGCAGCCACTGGGGAAAAGGTATGGCAACTCCTCAAAAATTAACATCAAATTTCCACATGACCCAACAATTCCACTCTAGGTAAAATAATTGAAAGCAGTCTCAAAACTGTATTTGTTCCCCAGGCTCATAGAACCATTATTCACAGTAGTTAAAATATGCTCATGGATCAACAACTGGTTAAGGAAAATGTAGCAATAAACATACCATAGAACACTACCTAGCCATAAAGGGGAAGAAAATTCTGCAATGTGCTACAATAGATGAAACTTGAGAATAGTATGCTAAATGAAACAAGCCAATCACAAGAAGACAAATGCTATATGATTCCACTTATATCAGGTACTTAGCCAACATCAGAGAGAGTGAAAGTAGAACAAATGACCTTCAGGAAAAGACAAAGCCCTGGTAGTAAGAAGCACTGTTGCCAGGAGCTACAGAAGTAGGCCTGTGGTTACAAAGGCAGTCCCCAGGGGAGTTTTTTTAAGAGGAAGGAATTATTCTGTATGCTTGTTGTGGTGATAGTTACCAGGAATCTTACCTGTGCTATAATTCATAACCTATACACAGAAATAAGCACTTTTACCGTATTGTAATTAAAACATAAAATTAATTAATTGGCCCAACTCAGAGTAACTGTTTTCCTTGCCTAGAAAATAGCAACCCAAAGGGCTGAAATTTGCAGAAAGAGCAAAAATATATCAAAGATACAGGAGAGTAGACAGGAATGAGAACATGCATGCTGTGAGAACAACTGTGAGAACCTTTTCATTCCTTTTTCTTTTTGCAACTCATGCCCTAAAGATCAGTCTGTCAGCTTCCTGGGGCTTCCTTTTCCTTTCTTCAGCCTAAAGCTTTCTGGCTACCCTTAATTTCCATTGTTTTTCCTAAAAGCACCGAACACCTGAGTTCAGTGTTCATTTTTAGGTTGAACTTTACTCCCAGATTGCCTCATGCCCCCAAAATAAGTTAGACTGTTGGTTAAGCCTTTAAAGCAAGTCAAATTTTGTGACAATTCCAACATTAGAATTCAGAAAGAAATAGGAGAAAGGAATTTTCCATAGCAGCTCTCTTCGTTACACTTCAATTGCTCCCTCTTGCTCAAAGTTTCTATGGATAAAAGGCAAGAAAAATGTGTCATTTTCAATTTTTATTAGCCACATTAAACACAGCAGAGAAATCAATTTTAATACTGTATTTCACTTAATCCAATATATCAAAATGTTATTTCAACATTAATCAATATAAAAATTATTAATAAGATGTTTTGCACTAAGATGGTATGTTAGTGAAATATGTCTGTACTAAGTGTTTGAAGTTCAACATATTACACTTAAAGTACACTCAGTTTGGCCTAACCAACAGCTGGGAGCCGTTGTATAAAACAGTATAGGTCTGGACTATTCACTTGGAAGCCAATATAGTCTCTATTTGTACTTTGAAACTATCTTTTACTCACTGGGCAACAAACCCTGGAAGGTCTACTGTGCACCAGTTGCTAGGCTAGAACTGGAAATTCAAACATGGAGACATCACTTGCCCTAAAGCTCAGACTGTGGGAGTGAGAGAAACAAAAAGACAATTATAAAATACTGTGAAAGAATCACACCATGCATGCACTCTGTTTTATGAGCACCTGAAAGGGGAGGGAGGTTCCATAAACATAATTTCAGAGGTGGCCATGAGCTGGCCTCACGTTGTGCAATAACTCTGTGAAGGGCATTCCAGAGGTACCAGCTTGAGCAAATGCATTGAAATGAGGGGAGTGGGCCCCAGGTGACCTGAGAAGAGTGCATGTTAGGGTGAAGATGAAAGAGAAGAAAGGGGGTAAGTAAGCAAAGTCAGTGAAAGCCCTGGCTTTTAAAAGAATCCACACTACAATTTCAGGCGATGTGACACTGAGGTGAAATGCAAATGACACGGATTGAAGCTTTTGCTGGAAACTGTCCCTGCTCCTCTGTGCCAGCTGCTCCATGAGGACAGGGCCATCTGCTTGGCTCAGGCCCTTACCCCAGGGCCTGCAACTCTGCTGGCAGAGTGGGCGCCAGGAGTCTTGCAACGGCTGGAGTTCCATCTTTCATTTACCTTCCTCCCCAAGCTGAGAGGAAACGGGGTGCCGTGGTAGCTTACTCTTCAAAAGTCCTTGGAAGTTCAGGGACAGGTGTCCACTCTACTGGTCCACGTCCTCGTCAGTGAAATGGGGTTCAACCCACCACGCAGGGATACGTATGATTCAGATGAGTTAACAGGGATCACCTCGACACATGAAAAGGTGACTTAAGGGCGCCGGGTGACAAGACCTGCCAAGGTCAAGGCCAGGTTTCCACACTTTGTGACGTGGGTCCTCCTCAGCCTTGCTGCAAGAAGATTCCCCCGGAGTCACAGGGCTCCCCCGCCCTTCGGAAGGTAGCCGCGGGCACCACCGCTCACCGCGCCTTTAGTAGAGGCGCCACCGACGGAGAGGAGGAGGGAACAGCCGC